CTAGTTCTGCAAATTTTGTTGACTGTCAAACCAATGACTCCTTGAACTCTGAATCTGTTGCTTCTAACTCAGTTACTTCTAAACCTGCTGTTGGAAAATACAAGCCACCAAAACAAGCGAAACTGACGGCTTGCTGCAAGTGTGCTTGTGGGAACAATCAGAGACATGGCAAGGGCACGCCACCAGGGGTAGGAAGAAACAACTTCCCAGTGAAGAAAAATACATGTTTTCACTGTGGAACGCCTGGACACATTGCCAGAAATTATCCAAATCGCGCATACGTTCCCTACTACGCACAAGGCTGGCAGAACGCGCCAAGAGGGAGATTTTCCAAAAGAAACCCTTCGAGGTCATGTTCAAACAATGGCGACTAGAATGCCACGAAGGGCAAGAGTTCAACTCCCAAGGCCAAGAAATCAACTCCCACGGGCAAGAAGGGAATGCCGGCCCAGAAGTCAAGTTCAAGAGATGCTCGTGTGAAGCCAAGACCGGTTAGGTCAAAGTCATCTCAGCAGCCGACTTCAAGTTCAAAATCAAGTTCCGAGGCACCCATCCGCTCGAAAAAGAAATAGGTTAAACCCGACTACAGATGGGTACCAAGGTTCAATCTCCCAAATCACTTAATGATTCTAATATTTCCACATCTTTTGTTTGTGATAAGCAGGATATGTCATGGGAGAGAGTACCGTGCAAGGATGAAAGAGGTCAACCCAGTTTCAAAATGGACTGGGTTCCAAAGGCCAACTGATCCCGCTCTGTGTCGGAGTAGCTATGGAGGCATATCATCAGACTTCGGTTTGTTGGTAGTGGCTGATCCAGGCACATGATAGGGGACATCTCTCAACTATACAACATTCAGAACTTTGTTTGAGAGTATGTGTCCTTTGCGGGAAGGGAAGAAAGGAAAGGATCACACATGGGGTTTGTGCTTAACGATGTGAAGAATATTCGGATATGTTATGAGATTATGCGTGCTGTTCTCAGACCTTCTGGATGCAAATTCAATCGGTGACTTACGGTTTGAGTTTTCTTCTCTATACTCCTGAGTTTATCTTAAACTGATTCGTTTCAAAGACAATTCTTTTATTTTGTTATAGTTTTTCATTAGTAGGTATTATTGGGAAGTGATATCAAGAAAGTGATAACGGGCAGTCTAAACATGTGTAAGGGACTGAATCTGAACTGTCTAGACTCTGTGTTCAATGTGCTGGTAGGCACGAAGGATTTGACAGTGTGGATTTAGATAGGATTGTTTGGACTGACCATACGACGCTCGGGTAGATTGAGCAGTGAGATAAACACAGGAACCTACAGGATACACTAAATTAACACGCATCTAGAACTGTGATTTAACTTTTCCTTGATGTACGGACTTATGTTATTAATTCTGGTTCTGATAGGGCAATTGGGGGGTTTTGATAAAGTAGGTCTGTAGGAAATTATTTTCTTGCTTTCTATCTGTCAGTCATATGTTGCTTCCTCTACGTGATTGGAAGAGATCCGACCTGGATTGCAACATATGCAACTCTAATTCTACGCACCTCCTTATCGATGAAATTATTTCTATCTGTTAGCCATATGTTGTTCCCTCTGCGTGATCGGAAGATCCGACCTGTGACACAGCATATGCACTATTTTACCTCTTAATCCCTCTATATATGTTAGTCATATGTTGTCCCCTCTGCGTGATTGAAAGCGATCTGACCTGGGACACAACATATGCCCCTATCTCTAAATCTGTCTTCCTCCTTAATAATTGTTTACTCACCTAAAGTAAGGAGTTCTTTGGAAGTTCTTGATAACCAGGGTATATCGGGAAATGGGGAACACGTTCTAGTGCAACTAAAATTGAACCTTTTAGAGGTTTCTATAGATCTCGCTGCTTAATTTAAGTGGACAACAATACCCGTGGTCGTCGTCAGCTGAATGGTATATTTGGAAAAGTTTGTCAATATTCTTCGTGTTTAAGTGGACCACAATACCGGCAATTGACCAGATCTATTCATGAAGGTGAAGGTACTGATAAACAAAGTTAAGACTGTCTCACAACTTTGATCCCAAATATTTTTTGTTTTTGTTAAATTTGTTCATAGTTTTCCTCTATGCACAAATTTAAGGGGGAGAATTAAAATAAAAAAAAATCAGAAAATTCAAAAATCCAAAAATAGTGTTATTTTTGTTTTATTTCTTGTTCAGAAAAATCAAAAATCCAAAAATATTTTTGTTTCTGTTTTATTTTTTTAGAAAATATGAAAAATTCGAAAATATTGTGTGCTAAGTTTTCTTTTAGTTTTCTTTTGTCTTGAAAAGTGAATTCAGATGTAGATGAGACTCATGGAGACTGTATCGAAAATTTCTGAGCCAAGGCTTCGTCCGTGATCATCGAAGAATTCTCATTCGAAGGAGCAAGAAATGAAGATTATTCTTTCAACATTCAATCCTTCAACCCCAGAAGCAAGGTGAAGCTGCACTTGAAGATTATGTGACAGATTGCATTGAAGCCTCCTCAATCAATTTGCTGCTATCTTTGTACCTACTGAAGTGATCCAGAAGATTAGCTCTCTCTATTGTTCTCTCTGAAGATTCTCAAGCTGGAAGCGCCATCTATCAAGAATCTTTTCAAGAAGCCTCCTCACCCAACGTGCGTTCAAAGCCAAATTCTGAAGAAAAGCCCAACTGCTTATTCATTGAAGATTCATCAAGTTCATCTTGAAGTTGTGAAGAATGTGAAGATTAATGCTGAAGCCAAGCTCCCGATGAAGATTGACAAGAAAAGTCAGCTACTTTTTAGGGGGAGCTTGTTGGGTCAATTAGAAAAGAAAGCTATAAACCAATGGGGAGATTGTTGGGTCTAAAATATGGTTTATACTTTGCTTTTCTATGCAATTGTATTTTTTTAGTCTAGGACCGTAAACATCCTTGTAGTTTGCGGTTAGATGTGTTCACGGGTGTGTTCACGGCCAGGTTGTGTTTACGGCCGTGAACTGGTTCACGGCAGTGAACCTGTTCACGACCCATGTTCCATATAAATAGATGTTAGATGAGCATAAAGAGAGAGACGGCTAGAGGAGCTTAAGTGTGTGTATTCTAAGGTGTTCTAGAGAGAGAAATGAGAGAAGGTGCATGTGTGTGTGAATCTTGTGTATTGTTCATCATTCCAATCTTGAATACATCATAGATTCATATTATTCTTCTTCTCCTTCTTCTTAATTTAGATCTGGCATCATCCGTTTGATTGGGATTCCGCACCATCAAACGGATCTGATTGATACACAAGCAGATTTGGGACTTACAGACCTACTATTACCGGTAATGTAATGATATTTTTTGAACAAATGTAAAGTTTAATGGTCCAATGTATACACACGCTATAGTTGGTTGGCAATACCTTGATTGAAACCTAGAATGTTTGAACTTGAGACTTCCTTCTAGAGTGTCAAGCCTTACCCGGCGAGCCACCAAGATGACAATTTAATATTATTATATAAGTATAAAATATTTTTGCAATTAAGCACAAAGTATTTCAATGTATAAATATGTGTTTTTACATACATAAAAAGCATATTTACAATAAATATGTGTTTTTTTATGTATAAATACATATTGACATTTGAAAATCATATGTTGGTCATCTTGTATATATTATTATATTTAAATGTATAAATACATAAAATACTCAATTATCCATTATTTTAGTTGAAATTTAATACATTTAAATGTATAAATATATATAAATACCCAATTATCCATTATATTAGATTTTGAATCCCCCCTTATGGATTATGGTCGATGATTAGAAAAATGCATTGAAATTATGTTGTTGTTTACCGATAGGAAAATGACTTATAAGGGTAAATTTATTAAACTTTAGCTAACATAATGTATAATTGAATATTTCTTGGGCACTGCAAAGGGAAGTCTCAAGTTCAAACCTTGTGTGTCGCAGTCGACGTATGGCCAACATAAATGTGCGATGCAATTGTAAAAGAGAGTGTTTAGTATCATTGTCAAAAGCGAACCCTCTCCCCCAAACCTTTCAAAATCAAGGAATCACAATAGGTGATGGAAAACCCATTTTTATGTAATGATATGTATTTTTGAAATGATATTTTTTTTAATAAATTATATAAGATTAATGGTAAAATGTGTACAAAAAAAAGTTTAATGGTATAATGTGTACAAAAAAAATTGAATGATATAATGTGTACATAATAAATAGTAAATCCACGTCAGCAGCCATGTGGTTGATGACCTACTATCTATTACCTGTAACATAATGGTATTTTTTGAACAATTGTTAAGTTTAATGGCCGTACGTGTAAAAATGCTATAGTTGGTTAGTGATATGTGTACAAAGAAAAGTTCAACGATATTTTTTGTACAATTCTGATACTTTGTTAACCTTACAAGTCATTTTCCCAAAGAAAATTACTAATATTTATACAATTAATTAGGTTTTTCATTAAAAAAATATGGAATGAGTAAAACAAACAAAATTAGATATTAAAAAAACAAGTCTAACATATTAAATGGGTCGGGAGAGTCGCAATATGCTTAAAACAAACTACAAACGCCAAATACCATAAGAGTTTCACGGGTAACTTCAATGTTGTATGATATAGACAGTCATGCATCCATCGGAGATTAGAGTGATTCTTCCTAAAAATGACCTTCGGCAATTGAAACGTTGAAATAAAAACAACATAAATAAAAATAAAGATGAAAGTACATACGACAAAGCTAACAGTAAAAAGAAGACAAAAGTGAAAAGGTTAGTACCGAACATAAAACATTAAACACCTTCCTATCTTTATCTTAGGTAAGATTCAACCATTCATGTCTACCCTCACGCTATCTTCCAACATAAAGATTAGCACAAATTCAAGATTTCAAAAACGCATTTACACAATAAAAAACCCGACACGATTGCATGATAAAAGTCTATATATGTCATTACTAGCATTGAAGTATCAACATGCTTTTGGAACCATTACATTAAAGGTAACCAAAAACAAGCAATGTAGTTCTAAATCTCATATAAAATCCAACCAAAAAAGATTTACATCCTATCTTAAACAACAACCGAATTAAAACCATTCACTGTACATGTTCTCCCATTGCAAGAACATGATCACACATCTCGGATCCATTTTCAACATATTCAAAACCAGTAGCAGCAGGGCAAGGACTCTCACTTGAGGAACTGGAGCTAGGGCTGGAGGAGGTGAACAGCTGTCCATCTTCTTCACGAACCGGTTGTAAAAAGCTCTGCATTCTAACAAGGTAACTAGACGGTTGGATTCTAACATGATGATGGCTCGCTGAGTCAACCGGGATAGTCAACGTATTACTTAGGTTAAGATTAGGAAACACATAACACCGGCATCTAGGGCATTTCATATTTACTCTAAGCCATTTATCGATACATGCAACATGGAAATTATGCGCACAAGGAAGCCCACGTACCTGAAAAAAATAAAAAATAACCGCTTTTCATTAAATGATTTTCACAATATTAAGGAAATAATATTATATTATGGATTTACGGTTTTACCCCTTGCCCAACATGAAACTCTTCCAAACAAATCGGGCAGTCACTGCAGTCGGTCGGGACGGCTTTTAAGATAAAAACTGGAAGCCGTTGAATCGATGTTTCCACCGCTGTCCTCTACATTGCCATAATTAGAAAGTCATACAATACATTTCAACTTTTAGTTTTGTATTATTATTTTTTTTATAATCAAACTTGCTAAATTTATATACCTGTGATTCAGATAAATCGTGTCCAGGACTATACGGGGCGGCATCTTGGTCAATGCCTCTCATTTCTTGACCAGCAGTTTCAAATACCCAATCGGGTTGACGAATCATATTAAGCAAAACCTGAGAAAAAAAATTTGTAAGTGATGTCTGCGTGCAAAACACAGTACAATCTGATCTGTTCTGTTATGTACTATCATGTCAGGTCAGGTCAGGTCATGTCAGTCTGTTGAGGTTACCCTATATTCTGAGATACGAGTCCCATGTGGAGCGCGTCGCAAATGAGCTTGCCTTCTTGTTAACCACTAGAGAAAAAAATAAAGAAAAATATATTGTAAGATTATATTTCCAAAATAGCAAAATTATTAGAAACGAACTTCAACGGTTACCTTTTTACCGAAATTACCCGCAAGGCAAATGAGTCCACAGAAGCTAAAAAGTAACCATACAAGAAATCCCCATTTCTGGTTTTTTTCAGGCAACTGTGACAAATATGAAATAATATCAAATATAGAGTTTACATTTTGATTTATTTTGATGAATCAATTAAAGAAACCAAAATCATGCACACATACACAGTTTCTTGCTCCAGCAAACCAAACAGCCCCAACAACACTCCATGCCCAAAGAAAGGGGTAGAGCACTGCATACAGAATAGATAGAACCACAATTCTTCCAAAAAAATGACGCCCTCTTAGTTGTCTGCCAAAATCCCTGCACAATTTACACAATATAAACCCTAAAATCAAAAATATTGTATCTTTCTTTTCCCCTTTTTCTGATTCAAAATGATCTAAAATAATCTACTTAATGAAAACGTACATTAGGGTATCGTTTATCAAGTTTCGATTGTTAGTAATTTGTTATGATTTAGGGGCAAGGTGGACTTACAATCGCACTTCAGCTGCAATCGCATTGTCTACGAACATCAAGAGGCGGAAAACAAAGACCGCGGCATAATCAACCTTGTTTGAAGAATCGAAAGCGCAAATTAGTGTCTATAGATGTAAAATTCAGGTGAGATTAAAGATTTGACGAAAGATTTAGTTCACAAACCGATATCCATAGGTGCAATGGTAATTTACAAAGGTGGTAATGGTCCCAACTCAAGCCGACCATTATTCTATTAAGTGGCAATCGTCAAGAAAAACAAGATAGATGATGATTATACGAACTAATATTATATATATCGCGATTTGATCTCAATTACAAAAAAGGATACATGCTAAACGCAAGCATTGATAGAAAGAATCCATCGTACCTGTAAAAAATCAGGAATTCAAAAAACCAAACAATCGCGATCAACAAGAACTCAAAAGGGGGTCGAAATTCGAACAGAAAAATGCAGAATTGCGTATCGAATGAACTAACCACTTAAAACCTGCGCCTGTGATCGCCATTGAAGAATGAAGGAGCTACTTGGAGAAAACCCTAGGCTTGAGTTGTTTAAGAAATGAAGTAAAGTATTAAACTGCTTCGAGATTATATAGGATTGAAATTGAGAAGACTGAGATACAAAATTCGAAAAAAAAAACCACCGACTGAGAGAGGGAGGGAAGGGGAGTAACGCACACAGTGGTGTGTGTGAGAGAGAGGGGAGATAGCGACGAAAATGGCGAAGGTCAATTTGGTGAAATCATTTTCTTCTTTTCTCGGGAAAAAGTTATTTCTGTGAACAGATGATTTCTGTAAAGGTGACGAATGAATAACCGGTGGGAATATTTGGGCCAACTGATTTACAGCAGTACTCAAGCCCATTTCTATATGGTCGGTTCACTTGATGACTTCATATATTCTATACTTGGATCTTTTCTAATTCATCGGTGCACAAAATAAAATGTTATGATAAGAAACCAGTTTTTAAACCAAGTCATTCCGATTGTATAAAATAAGTACGAAACCAATTCGTGAAAAAATATAAAAATAAAGTAAATGTATGAAGTTATAAAAACGGATTGTAAAAAAATCATATAGAAGTGAAGAAAAAGTGAAGTTGTAAAAACCGATTTAAAAAATAAAATTAAAAACAAAGTAAATATATATGACGCTAAAAAATAGATTGAAAAAACTAATTGAAAATAAAGTTATAAAAAGAATTATGCCAAAAAAAACATGTAAAAACAAAGTTAAAAATTAAGATTTAAAAATAAATTGTGAAAAAACATGCAAAAATGAAAGAAAAAAATAAAGTTGTAAAATTGAATTGTAAAAAAATATATAAAAATCAAATAACATAATTTTAAAAATTTAGTAACTAATTATAGCCCGAAATTGTTCAATGACCTTAACGCAATAAAAAATAGTTCAATAATCAAGTTTGTATAGATTAAAAAATCCAATAATATTTATAGCCCGAAATTGTTCAATGACCTTAACGCAATAAAAAATAGTTCAATAATCAAGTTTGTATAGATTAAAAAATCCAATAATATTTTAATATTTAAAATAAGTTAAGTGACCAATAAATATAAAATCAAAATTTAAACAGCTAAAAATATGATCTTAATCTAAAATAAAAGACTCCTCTTATTGTAGTGAACTTAACATTTGTAACCAAACATTTAAGTTGATGAAAATTAAGTAATTTGATCATTATAAATGTGTTTTTTCAAAAAAAAAAAAAAAAAAAAAAGAACCATATTTTTTCAGTTTTAAAAAATAATCATTTTCTTCGGAATGTCTTCATTCCGGAGTATTGTTAATATTCCGGAGTACTGTTAATATTCCGGAGTTTTGTTTTAAATTTTTTTCAAAGAAATCTTTTTTAATATTTTTTTGAGATTCTGAATGTTACATTTCGAAGTATTTTAGGTGTTGTTTGTTTTTTTTAAAAACCTCTTCAAACCACTTTCTGCTGCGCGGCGCAGCACACGCGCAGCACTTTCCCTCTCGCAGCAGTTTGTTTTTTTGGAAGGCTTCAGACTACAAAACCTCTGTGTGTGGCGCAACACTTGACTTGCCTCTTCAAACCTCTTCAGCCTTCATTTTTTTTCCAAGTGTTTTTTTAGAATTTTGGTATAACTTATTTTTTTTAAAACTTTTTTTTTTAAATCTTTGATTTTTTTAAACTTTTATTTACACATTTGATACAATTTCTTTTTATAGTTTCCCACAAATTTTTTAAACTTAATTTAAAAAAAAAACTTTAAGTTTTTAAATTTTTTTACATTTTCTATTAATAATATTTTTAGTTTTAGTTGTATCTTTTTAACGTGTGTAATTTTTTACAAATTTTGTAAAGATCGTTTGCAATACTTTCTTAATTTTTTTTTATTTTCTTTTTTTATGTTTTTTACAATTAGTTTTTTTCTAGAATAATATTAGCTTCTTTTATATTTTTTAAAGTTTTTTTTTAAAAGTTTTATATTTTTGTTTTTTTACATGTTCTTTTTAGTATTCTTTCAATGTTTTAAGACTAAAATTATTAAAATTTCGGTGTTGAAAACTATTTTCAGTTTATAAAATTAGTTTATTTAAATTTCAGTTTACTGCAGCAGTCTGCAGATGTTAAAAAACAAACACGCTTCTTATTACAGGCTGCAGCCGTTTGTTCCACCTCTTCTGCTGCAGAGGATTGCAGAGGTGGTCCGCAGACTTAATGAAATTTCTCTTCGAAAAAACAAACAGCACCTTAATGTCACCATTTTTCAATAAAATGTTTAATTTTATGCACTAATATCGTATGTAGTTCACATTACTATGTTTTTTTAAGTTTTTTGTTAGATTTAAATATTATCTTTCTGTTCATCTAATTTGAAAATGCTTATATACACCTCATGATTGACACTTCAAACCACAATCACGTCTATCCCGCAATTCTCCATATTAGTCCGTATTTTCTGTAATTTTAATATTTTTGACACAATTTGCACAAACATAGACACAATGGGCTTTCTACATTGATTTTTTTGTACAATCCAAACATAACAAAAGATAATATGGAAAACTTTTTCACATAGTGAAAATCTATATCGGTGAATTACATGATTTCATAAAACCCGTGAAAGAAATATCAGAATACCCTGGAAAAAAATAATACTAATTGTCCTTTTAACTAAAAATTGGCAAAATACAACAGATAAAATGAATAAGACCCCCTTTCATAATAAGTCATATTTTACAAACGAAACCCTTGTTAAATCCAAATGACCGTCTTGTCCCTTTTTTCCTTGCAATACAAAAAAACATTAATTTCTAATATGTTGTGAAAAAAAATGCCCATGCCTAATATGACCTGAAAGAAAAAGTCCAAGTCTATCCCTAATCAAAATAGCAATTGTCGTTGCTATAATTTGGTGGGTTTTTCAAACTACAATGTCCTAATAAAAAAACTTTGAAATTACATCATTGTCAATGGTTGGATTTGTGAAACTACACATAAAAACCGGCATAGACACACACACACATCAGATAGACAGATATACAAACATGCATCCCACTTTTCATCTAGAGGTATGTTTGTTAGATAGCAAAGTATGTTGCCACTTTTAGCATTTAGTCCATATTTAAAAAATTTATAAGTTATAAATAAAATAGGACATACTACTATGGCATTGTAGCTGATTTGGCAATATAACCGGGTAGATTTTCAAAAAAGAAATAAAAAAAACTGAAAGTGTAATGCCATATTGATAAAACAAAGTAAAAAATGTAATTTTGTAATACAAAAACAAAACACCGAGTGGGACATCATTTTTTTTTTCAATTATTATCCAAACATCATTACACACGCAAACACACCTGTGATTTATAAGATGAATTCAATTTTAGCCCATAATTTATGAAAGTGATGTGCTCTTTGTCGGTAGGAGGTGCAACAATTGCAAATTACAATACAAAAATTATGGGTTCATGAATCAAAGTTGTATTTTACCAATTTTAGTTGTAAAGGTAGGAGATATTCGGGATAAGTCCTTAAGATTTTTTTAGACAAAATGAACAAAATCAACAACAGAAAAACAGGAAATAAAAATACTTACGTAAACTTTCTACTAACTCAAAAGGACTACCGAAAGGCAATTTGTTTTTTCCTTATTCTATTTACAGCATATAGCATCTTTATGCTTTTTTATTTTCTTTCGGTTTGTATTTTTCTGATTTTTCTTTTCTTTCTCTCTCTCTTTTTTCCGATAGGGATATCAAAAAGAGACTTCATATTAATGCAAACAAATGGCGTGAAGATGTACGAATTCTATTAGCGAAAGCCATCTGGTATATAAACATCTGGACTACTATGGTACTCAAAACTTACAAACATGAAACAACCCCATTTATCATAATTTACTTAATCAATCAAATGATCAATAATACATTATACATAAATCTGTAAACAAGGATCAAAACTTACACCTCATTCACTCATGAGGCGGGAGGTCAAAACAATCATTGTTCAGGCTGTGTACTACTTGTATGATGAAGACCACGATTCTCAGACGGTTGACCACCGTTTTCCGCCCTTTCCAAAGCACAATCGGAATCGGAACTAGAGGCGGAATCGGAATCGGCATTTCCAGTGCGAACAGGACGAAGGAAACCTTGCATTCTCAACAGATAACTCTGACTACCTGGTTGACTCCTCATGTAACGAGTCGATGAAACGGTCAACCGGTCATGGTCAACCGGAATGGTGGAGAGAGCCGTAAGGTCAAGATTAGGGAAGACCGAACATCGGCATCGAGGGCATTTCACATTCAATCGTAGCCATTCATCAATGCATGCTACATGAAAGTTATGTGCGCATGGTAGACCCCGCACCTGAAAATTTCATTTTCACAAATAAAAATCATTATTTACATTTTAACCCGAAAAAAAAAATTAAAAAAAAAAAAAAATCAATACCTCATTCCCGACATGAAACTCTTCCAAACAAATCGGACACTCGCTACAATCAGTTGGAACCGCTTTCAGCATGAACTTTGGAAGTTCTTGGATTAGTGCCTCTACCGCTTCTCTCTAAATGTCAAATTTAGAAATAAGATAACGTCTCAGTCACAGTCACAGTCAGAATCCAAAAGCAATAACAGTACAACTTGTTATGTCATGTCATGTGTACCTGGGGTTCAGTTAAGTAAAGCCCAGGATGATATGAAGTAGCATCTTGAGCCATGCCTCTCATCTCTTGGCCTGCAGCAGTTTCAAATGCCCAATCCGGTACACGAACCATATCAACAAACACCTTGATCAAGGATTTTAGTTTTAATAAAATTTGTGTAGATGAATATAATTAAAAAAAGTAAAAATTATATTTATCTAGGGTACCCCGTATTCTGAAATTGGAATTCCTTGTTGAGCGCGTAGTGAATGAGCTTTCCTTCTTGTTAACCACTGCACAAAAAACGTTTTAATCTCAATAAAAATGAAATCTTGAATGCACAGTTGACTTTCTGTTTATTACCTTTTTCATACACAATGCAGCAATGCAAACGAGCCCGCTGTAGCTGAAAAGCAACCATATCAGAAAACCCCATTTCTGACCTTCTTCAGGGAGCTGAAATCAAATTATACAAAACAAGTTACCTCTTGCGATTATGTGCTAAAAATTGAAGTAAAATAGGAGGCGTACACAGTCTTTTGAACTACTGAACCATAGAGAACCGATTACAGTCCATGCCCAGAGAAAGGGGTAGAGAAACACAGAGAGAATTGATAACACCACCACCCTTCCACAAAATCGAGCATGTCTCTGCTGACGACCAAAATCCCTACGTTGTTTTGGATTAGCGATTTTGAGAATGAGATTTGTATGTAATCTTCAAAAACAATAATCCAGAAAGGAGTATATATGAATGACTTACAATCCCATTCCAGCAGCAAGCCCATTGTCCACAAACATCAACAGACGAAATATGAAGACCGTGGTATAATCAACCTAATAAACAAGCAATAACAGCAAAACAAGTAAAAAAAATCAGACGTTGTAATTCGAGTAAGCGGAGTTTCGATGAGCATTTGAGATGATTCTGTCTATCGGTTTTCAGTGATTGAACAATTTCTGATTTTTTTTGTGAAAAGGCTATCGCTTTCGAAAAGGGCAAGATCCAGAGTTATTTACTGATTACCTACCACGATCCATATGTGTAGTGGGTTTGTGCATAGATGGTAACGCTTCCAGTTGATTGCAACTATAATTCTATTAGTAGCAGTCGTCAAGAATCAGCAAATTTTTGGTAAAATTTAAATGCATACAAGAGAAAGAAATCATATACTATATATATGTGAAAGTAAAAGTGAAAGTATCTTCCCCAAAAGGATACATACTAGTGGCAAGCATTGACAGGAAAAACCCATCATACCTGCAGAAGATATAGAATCGGCGGTTACAAAACTCGTAAAAATGAAATTAATTTTCATATCAAACGAAAGCGATTACAAACCGTGTAAACAATGAAAACTAACCACTTAAAATCGACGCCCCTCACTGCCATACAAGATTATAGAAGGAAGCCAAGAGGTTGAAAATCCCTAAAGGCAGCGATTGAATTGTGGTTGAAGGTTTAAATCAGAATGAGTGGTGGATACTGGATATAAGTAAAGGAGATCGGGAAATCGTGGAAATGGGAGATGGGTAATGATAATATCTGATTTGATATTAAGGGGGAGATAGGAAAAGGCTCTTGCAGAGAGAAAAAGGGAAAACAGGAACCGGTGAGCTGAAATGAGAATTGACGAATGAGGAAGAGAGTGAAAGGAATTGCAATTTGGAGTGATATTTTGCGGGGTCTACTGAACTAGTGATGTTAATTATTTGAGATCAAAATAGTTGTAGGGTTTATCGTTTGAAAAATATTCAATAAGAAATTAAAACGTTATTTTTCTTTTATAAATTGGTTGGAAATCCATATCTATCCATGTTTAAGCAACATGCTAAATATATAAATCCCCCAAAATTAGGGATCTTGAAAATCAACCACCCATTTGCTTCAACATTGCTTGAGGTTTGTCAAAGCTTAAAAAGAATAAATAATATATCAACAAATCAGAAAAAAAAGGTTTTATATTATTTTAACAACGGTAAACATATCGGCCTAGATTGATGATCGTCAATGCGGTGGATTCGAGAATGAGATAGGGTGATCATGTATCAGGATTGACTGACTGCCTCTTTTTTTTTATGAACTTTCCAAAATGTATTTCAACACGTCAGATGATATGTCTTTGCTCGTTAACGCAAAGTTACATGTATCTATATTGTTTCTAAGAATTACAAACAAGGGGACAGCTTTGGTTTAATTTGTTCGTTTTCGTAAAGTTATTGATGAGGTGTTTTGTTAGGACTTGGGATGAAATATATATTCAACCATTCCACTTGTTTGTTTCTTTTGCTAAGTTCAACACCATACTAAACCTCATATTCGAAAAAGAAAATGTGAATCAATGAATATAATAAGGAAGCAAGTGTTGTGGATTAGAAGCAAACGATTAACAACAATGATTATACCACTTTCAAGTATGGATGTGTCTAAAAGATAAATGATGACCATTGTTGGTTTTAACACTGCCCCAAAAGGTGTAGATGGAGGTGTGTTACGCAACATCAATCTTCCTTATAGTTAAAAGTTGAAAATTTTAAAGTATAATCGGTGTATGCTATGAGGAACATCAAAGTATAATTCAGCTTCAGGGACAGTAACAAAGTAGCATATGAGATTCAAAGTGCCTTGGATATGAGGTCGGGTTATGGGTTTTGACCTTAGTAATTCTCCATGTGGACTGGAAAAGGGGTAGAACAGGTACTAATATTGTGGGTTTACGTATTTCAGTTAAAAGACCCGCAGTAGCAAAGCTCTGCCCTGGGGTGTGTGTTAAAAAGGTTATAAAATATACTTTAAATATAAATATCCATGGTATTGAAGAAGTAGAGAAAAGATTTTGCATTTGGGTTCTATGTAAAATTAATAAGTTGCATTTCTTGGGGGTTAAATAGACTTATGATGAGAATGGACATTTTCATGTTATGTGGTGTGTGAGGGAATGCAACATATGATTTTTTAGTTAGTGCCACGTTCAGTAGATCGGATGGTATCATTTTCATATGGGACTCTTTGTTTTTTCCTAAATAAAAAATTAGTCGTGATGCTAATTTTATAGCTGTTGAGGGAAATTATCTAAATCTAAAGGTTTCATGTATGTGTGCTAACATTTATGTTTCTCAAGATCTTCAAGCTAAACATGTTTTATGGGATAAGTTAACAAGATGTTTTAATCGTTTATCGGGTATGTTTATTGTTTTGAGGATTTTAATGAGACCGGTGAGCTAATTAGAGATTCGGTTCTTCTTTTAATCTGGACAAGTTGGTTGATCTTCCTATAAGGCAAGTTGTTTTAAGTGTACCCATATGCCAATATACAAGGCTCAAAAATAAGCAAATTTGATAGATTTTTGGTATCACAGATTTTTTGATTTGGTTTCACAATTTTCACAAGATCCAAAAAGATTTATGAAAAAATATTTTATGTATGCAACATCATATTCTGCAAAATAATAATAGATATTTTACAAAAAACTATTTTTTTTTTTTTTGCAAAATTTCATAATTCATCTATAGGTTTCATTTTTATTAGTTGGGTGTATTTCGTTTGGGTACTACACAAGAAAAGTCCTAATTATGACATTATGTTACAAGAATTTCACAAAAAGCTTTGTGAAATTGAAGTTACTTTAAGTTACAAAAAAAAAAGGATAATAAAATAGGTAGAAATAAAATCATTTCATAAATGTCATTTTGCATATTATTCGGTGGTAATCTGCCTCATATTTTGTATTTTGATTATATAAGTGAATATTGATTTTATAAAGTAGGTAGGTTTTAATTTACAGAAAATAAATTATATAATTAAAAAAAAAAAAAAAAGTGACAGAAGAAAACCGATATTTTAGGTGGAAGTGAGGTCCACTCTGTCTATACGTGTGATGATGTACGTAAACCATGAGGTTTTTAGTTTTACATGCCGGAATACAGAAGACACGGCCAATATCTTGCAAAAAAGGAAAAATAAAAAAAACAAATAAACAAAATGAGGTGGAACTCGTCGGCAAGACTCATGCTACTCACTTGTTAGTCAAGGATTCAATGATTCATCCATTGTATAATCTACTTTCTGTAGTCATCAGGCATCACACCATATACATGTCAATGTGATCGATAATACTTTACGTACTTGTAAAATTCTTGAAACACAATCACTTGGTAACTTTTGTTTCCTTTTTTAAAGATATAGTTATTAAGAAGGGATAATGACTTAAAAGGGTAACATATTATTCAATTTGTACACATTTGGTCACTGAGGTTTTTTTTCGTCCACATTTACCCCTTAAACTTGTTAAACTGTACACATTCAGTCCTTATGACCTGTTACTCCAGGTTAGCCGGGAAAAATGACTTGATAAGGTAATATATTTTTCATTTTGTACACATTTAGTCCTTAATATTTTTGTACATATTTAGTCCTTAACATTTTTTTTTTGTTTCAAAATAAGTCCTTTTTTTGTACTCATTCAGTACTTATGAATGATTTCTTTAAGTTTTTTTCATGACATCTTACGTGAGACAATCATTGATGAGGTGCTTGGGGTTGTTGATGCTTATGTCCAATGCGATCTCGACTGCTTGGTTGCGTAAGTCTTGTGGTTTGGCTTAGGTCTTGTATTTTGAACATCGTAACTTCTTCATACGATATCAGATTTTAAGGATCTTTATCCACGTGTTCATTTTTTGAGTCTACTACAACTTCTTTAAGATTTACTCCGTTAAAATGTAATATATTTTTACTAACGATTTTATAAAAAAAAACATACAGCATGCATTCATAAAACGTATGGACAGGGGAAGACGCAGTAATACATAGTAGTTGTTGTCGAGATGAAATAGGTGTTGCCGATGCATAGAAAATAGGTATAAACGTAAAAAAAAGCGAAAAATTTTCCACTGCGAACAGAAAAAACAGGTGTTGTCGGTGCAACACCGGGACCATACTAAATCCCCACCGCGTATGGATATAAAAATCGTAAGTAAAAATATATTATTTTTTAATGGGAGTAATCTAAATGAAAGTTGTAGTAGACTAAAATACGAACGCATGGATATAAAGATCGTTAAAATCCGAGATCATATGAAGAAGTTATGACGTTCAGAACACATGACCTAAGCAACCCAGTAGTCGAGATCGCGATGGATATAAGCATCAAAAGCCCCATACACCTCATTAAGGATGTCTCACGTAAGATTTCGTGAGATAAAACTAAAAAATCATTCATAAGTACTGAATGAGTACAAAAAAAATGACTTATTTTGCAAAAAAAAAAAAAAAAAAAAAAAGAACTAAATGTGTACAAAATATTAAAGGACTAAATGTGTACAAAGTGAGAATATATTACCCTATTAAGTCATTTTTACCGGATAACTTGGAGTAGCCGGTCATAAGGACTGAATGTATACAGTTTAACAAGTTAAAGAGGTAAATGTGGACGAAAAAAAAAACTCAGTGACCAAATGTGTACAAATCAAAAAATATATTACCCTTTTAAGTCATTATCCCTATTAAGAATTGGGAGATGTAAAAGCAATAAGCAACAACCTTTATTTGGATTTAGCTAGGTAGAGACTAGAGAGTTTTTGCTTTGCTGCGTGATCTTAACACAGTCTTTCCTCTATGCTCCCTATTCCTTATTGACGCGGAGTTTATTTCTTGTTATCATGTGTTTGGGGTATTTTTTTTATTATTATTCTAAAGTTGGCGTGTTCCTGGCCTTGTTTGATTGTTTCATGTTTTTGGGATTAATGACTTGTAAGAGGAATTTACTTTGCTTGTATATAAATTTAGTCATTAAAGTTATTCCGTAAACGATTTACCAGTAAACTCTTTATCAAAAATACAAATATGACCGGGTATCATAGGTTTAGCTGATTTTCAGCAACCCTTGCATCTCCGATTATCTTCTCTGGTTCTCCTCTATGGCTAAAATTAAGTTTTTCGATCATCTTCTTCGTACAAAACTCAAGAACTCAGATTTTAAGTTCAAACATCTTAGAAACGGTTTTATGACCAAACATATCAGAAACGATTATCATATCTAGCATCTCAAATTTTCAGTCAATATTGTTATGGGAAACTGAGATTAAACATCTCATAAACGATTTTAAGATCAAACATCTCATATTAAAACGATTTTCATATCAAAAAACAATTATTTTTCTCCATCAATCGTGCAAGATATATGTGTGTTTGGACCATATTTTAAACGCAAAAACAAGATAATATTCAAACACAAAATGTAATGAAAATAAAATCCATAAAACGGAGGATGATAGTTTGTAAATGATGAAATGTCTAATTATTTCTCTTGTATGGGAATTAAATGGTGTGTCTTGCCTTCTCCTGAATACCCATCTCTTATGGAAGCTGTATACGGTTTTGTTGATGACATTGTTGCGCTTTCATCAACATCATACACATCCGAAATGAATTTATAATGTTATAGACAATACACATGAAAGTTGTAACACCCTATTTATTTATTAGATAAATAAATAAATTAATGAATGAATAGTAGCCCTAAAATAAATAATTATATTTCAAAGGTTGATCTTGAGGAGCTAATTGTCACACTTTAAGAGATTGGGGGTTAAAAGTGTACGTCCCATACTAGTTTTGTAAGTATTTAAGAAGGCAGGGGCTAAATGGTAATTATTGGGACTTTATTTGAAAAGATCTTGAAGGGAGGGG